GAAGGGGGTGTGATGGATCCCATTATATAGACCTCCCTCAGAAGTGCCAAGCCAGGGGGGAAAGAAAAATTTAAACTCTCTCCCTTCCAAAATACTATTGTCACAGCAAACGTATATGGTTCAGGGCTCGACATCAGCAACGTCGATACCAGACCGACACCCACCACCTCCCACAGCCTTCATCCAGTCAGAATACGACCACCCCATGGACGACGAGACAGGACATCAACGCAAGCGCATTGCCCCCCGATATCATACTCTTCGCTCATCTCCAGACCGGACAGGACGAAAACATTCCTTCATCCAAAATCCCTACTCCGAAGCTTCAAAGTCAAGCTATCACCTACCCACCCTCGAAGAGAAATCCTCCTCGCACACTCACTCCCTCACTCACTCACTCACTCACTCACGGCCAGAGGAGGTTCATTTCCAATTCACCTCATCTCTACAGGCCCGCTTACACACACGATGAGATATATGCGGATGAGCAGAGATCGAGAAAATTCTATTCCTCGAGTTCCAGCTCGCTCGTCCAGATCCAGCCTAGTTAGTCGGTCCAGGGGACTCGGAAACTACTGAAGAGGCCAGAGCGACAAGTGTTCGTACTTTGTACACTGCTCTGCGAATACCCATGGATCCTCACCGCCCCCCCCCCAACAACGATTTCCAATCCCACCCACTATCTCCAACCCCTTCGAGCAGGCCCGCGCGACATGGAAACAGCCGTATAGGAAAAAACAAACGCTCGACGGAATGAAAACTTATCGTGGGCAATACAAGTGCACACGTCGTTAACCTTTAAGACTTATGTTACATCGAGGGACTAAGTCGAATTCGCCCATGCGGGAACTCAGGGGTCCCTGGACCTCCTTCCATAATTGCCGAATTGAACCCCTAAAGATTTGAGCGGGATAAATGGAGTCTGCACTATCCGCAGCTATGGATAGGTTTCTGAGGGGGTTCGGCAGGACTTCACAAGCCTAGTTACTTTTTCCGGTTGCAGCGGCTGATGGATCTCTTGTTGCGCCTCACAAACATCATCATGAGTGATTGACATCCCGAGACATATTTCGTCCCGGCTCTGATGAGTCCGTGGCGGGCGAGTGAGTCTCCATGAGCGAGTGATACAACATGACTGCAACAGGAAAGGGACGAAAGCTTCAGTACATGCTGAGCATTTGAAATTAACTACAAAAAGCCTTGCAGCACTAAATATCGGTCCACCCAGTCATAGCCTAGACAAACAGTAAAATTTTGGGGGCCAACAACCCCGGGCGGATACTACAACATACTGAACTCCAGGACTAAAGCAAGAGACAAGATGAAATAAAACGGAGCTCCCAGGCCCAGTACCGCGCAACTAAATAGCCACACCTACGCCTTCCCAGGCAGCCAGCTCTGCCTCCTCGACTGTCTCTTCAACAACCGCCTCGTGACTGCCACCTCCTTAAACACTTCCTCCTCCTCAGCTTCGTAATCCCCCCACCTCCACACCGCAAACTTCCCGTTGAAAAGCACCGCTACGCCCTCCCATCCACCACCCACCCAAACTCTATCCGCATACCCCTGCGCACTCCTCCACGGCTCCTTCTTCCCCATGGACATATCCCAGTGCGCCTTCACCTCGCCTGGTATCCCACCACCAACGCTCGCCCTCCTCCTATCTTCCAGCGCGGGGGGCGGCGGGTTCGGTCTTAGCATTTGTAGTCTGCAGCGGTGTTCTTTCCTTCCGGTTATAGCCCCACGAAGAGATTTTCCGCCACGGAGGACGGAAATGGGAGAGAGGGCGAGGCGGTACCGTCGGGATTGGTCGCTGAAGACTAGTTCTGTGTTGTACTTGAGTTCCAGATGCGCGAACTGACGATCGTCCTCGCGGAGGGCGGGCGTGTACCCCCGCGCAGTATGGCGGTATGGGTTGCGCACGCAGTGGTCGCACCAGGGTTTTTCTTCGATGCGGAGGGTTTCTGGGGGGTCTGGGTATGAGAAGCGGTAGTAGATGTGTGGTGGGTGGCAGTGTTGTGGGCAGTAAAAGAGGAGCTCGCGGGTCGAAGTGTTGAGTTTGATCTTTGGCGAGGTGAAGCGAACGGGAGCTTTCCAGGAGAGACTGATGGGGTGCCGGCTTATTGGGCGGAGGAAGGTTAGTGGCGGGTTGTATTTTGGCGGCTTTGGAGCGTCGGCAGATGAGATGCTCTGATTAGATGCTAATGGGTCGATTGGAATGTTGAATTGGGGTTCCTGGATGTTCGATAGAAGTTCCTCTGCTTCAAGGGACTCTGGCTGGTCGTCCCAGGAACAGCGGCTCTCCGTATCAGGAGATTGCGGCTTCAAGTCCCAGCAGTAGAAGTAGAATTCTGGGGGCGGCTCGCGGTAACCTGGGATAATATTGTGATAAAAGGCGGTCGGCTCCGTATTAGCATACATAAAGTATCTGTTATCTCCAATCCCAGCAGCGTACTCGGCATTCCCGCTAGCAACAGTGTCATAGTAAAAGTCCGTCGTTTCCTTATTGTGATATACTCCCCGGAGGTTGATCAAGTGGATCCGTTTCCGACTCGACATGGAAAATACCTGCAAAGTAGCAGATCGCGAGATACTGATAACTAGGTAGTCCTTACTACAGAAAATCTCCCGAACGTATAAATTCCCACCATCCGGGGGAGGCAGCAGGGCCGACAGCGGTAGTTTCCAACGGAGCTTATTCGACTCATGAACACCCCTCACAGTAATATATTTACTATCCCTCAGGTCAACAACCCATCACCTACAAAATCCAAGGGGCGAGAAAAAGTCCAGAGGTGACTTACTCCATAAAGGACCAAAAAGCAACAATCCCAGACCCATACCCCAACGCAACCCAATGATTCGAAGTATTCCTAAAGAGGGTCTCAAGCTGCGCCTCTGACTCCCCAGGCCTCTCAAACTGTGCGACAGTAATAGACCCGGCAATAGGCTCCTGCTTCGCCGAGGTCCTAGTGACATTCGAAAAATCCAGATAGCGCACGAAGACCGTCTTCCCACCCGTCATAAGATTCGAACTCCTCTCCAGCCAGACCAGAAAGCCATCTGAGAAGAACGGGCCCCCGTCCACAGCTCCGTACCTCTCCTCCTTGACGTAACCCCCACAGGCCGAGTACATCCACGGCGTTGCGGAGCGGAAATTGCCCTTACGGATAGCCAGGTCCGTTCGCAGAGCTCTGCGGAAGGTGGCATAGGAGTAGAATGAGTGGTTACCCCCGTAGTAGTGCGGTGGTGGAAGGAGTGCTCGTAAATGGACGTTGTGAAGGAGGAGTTGGTGGTAAACCTTCGTCATCGGGGAGTGTAGTATTCTCCTCCACGTTTTGGAGACCTTTGTTTGCTATGAATATATTGCACTCGACGAAGCGAAGTTGAAAGAGTGCAAAAAGTGGAAGAAAAAAAAAGACAACAGGAGGGTGAATATGTGGAAACAAAAGACATACCGTTTGCCAATGAATCAGTCGACGCATATCCGACATATCAGGAAGATATGACAAAACCTCAGCGACAAGATCCTCCGGTAGATTCCCAATCATATCGAACGGTATGCTGTTTCTCTTCGACCGGGCCTGCAAACCCATGATGGATTGATTGCAGCTTACTTCTGCGAGCAAACTCCAAACCTTTGACCAAACAGCCTTCCCAATCCCGCAGGGAGGATGAAAGAAAGTAATCTACCAGAGAAGCAATGTGAAGCAAAGCAACACCAAACTGTTTCCCCCAAAAGAAACGAAAAAAGAAGGTGGAGAGTTATCGTGAAACCGAACCTGTCCGTAGGTGTGGGGGGGAGGAAAGTGATGTGAAGCCAAATGTAGGCTCCGATGGCTTATGTTGAGTGAGCTCCCTCACCTCCCGCTTCCTTCTCCAAGGCTGCAGCTGGCTCTGCTGCTACTACCTACTCCGTTGCCCCCTGCGGCTGACACTGGCGAAGCAGGGTTCTGGAACTCAATTGACTGGTGGTTGGACCGGGTACAAATAGGTCTGGCATGCGTACTGCGGGGTACAAAGACAATCACGGAAATTACCGCGGTTGAGTTTGAGTGAAGCGAAAAGGAGAGGGGGAGAGGAGGGGGGGGGAAGGGGGAAAGGGGAAGGGGGAAAGGAAAGGAAGGCTTTGTTTTTTGTTGCCATGATACTACGGTGTGTATTTGGTCGCCATATTCATTCCGTTTGAGAGGCAGGATAGGACCAAAGATCGGAGTGATGGTCATGGGTGGGTGGGTATGATAGGTGGAAAAAAGAAGTATACAGTATATATAAACGGGAGCTAAGTGAAGGAACCCGGAGATCCAAGGAAGGAAGGGATGAAGGAAATAGGAGGAGAAGAGGGGACAATCACATTCTGATCACTGTTAAGGGAATGTCTTTGGCCACGCTGGTTGGGGGGTATATTTAGCTCCCTTTGGGAAGGATTTCACTATCATGCTCGAGTACCACCGGTAATAAGTAACGCTCAGAGCCTCTCTAGCAGTAATTAAACACAAGAGGCTACCGTGGTCCATGAAAAACTCTACTTTGAGAGTGCTGCGCTCGAGTACTGATACTGGTATCGTAAATTTATGTACTGTACTCCACAGTACTGTATTCGTGAAATTACATCCCACTGACATGATGCCCCACCGAATATAAGTCCCAACCCCAATTAAGCACTCCAGCACAAGTGACTTGCCCCTCCATCCTTTCTTCCTCCGACTTTCCTCCCTCCCCCTCTCTTCCCCTCTCTGCTCAGTAAACCTGTCCCAGAATCATAAGCAATCCCCCACTCTTGACCCGAAAAACACCGACAATAATCACGTCGCCATCACCAAAATCCCCTCCTCCCCCCCTCCATAATGCTGCAACATCTTGGACTGCACGTGTTGACAGCTAACAACCCGCCTCGCACCACCACCCCCTCAACCCAGAGTCAGAGTCCTGGAAATTTGGTTGGTCCAGAGCCGCATCTGCCTCACATCCAGTGCCTTCTCGCAAACACTCACTTTATCAAAACATAGCACCGAGAAATCCACAGGCAACCAGCACACCGCTACCGCTAGTCTAAGTCTACCGATATCACAACCGAAGTGACTGATTGAGCCATCGAACAAGGATCCAAGCCCACACCACACAGGCAACCGATAACAAAGTCTTGCCTTGCGGCTGATCCTACCGTATCGCAGGCGCAACGAGCCAGCTCTAATTTACCGGTATCATATTGTACTTGTACCAGTACTAGTACTGTACAGTACCCTCCCCGCCGACAGAAATATCAGGCTACCACCACCTTGACTAATCAGACGCCGTGGGCTGTATTGCAGACCATCAGTATAAGCCTTGTCTCCACAGGTATTTTGTACGGTACCGTACGAGTGCTGTACTTCTCCCAGACAAAGCCCCCCCATCGCCCTATCGTGCCGCGTCTGAAATCCACCCTCACCTGACCAGAACCAACAATGAGCGAGCCCCAACAAACAACGAACCAAGCCCCTGGGGAAAGGGAAGGAAAAGAAAAAGACTCGGTTGGTTGAGAGTTGGTACCAGTGCAATGCGCTCAAATGTGTGGGTCCACCGTGGCAACCGACCCAGGCGCAAGGTTTGAAGTTGCACAAAGCCTTCTGGCGAAGTACCAAGCCAATGTTACCTGTATGATACCGGTACTTGTACTAGTACCATCCCGCCCTGCAAATACCGATACCCGAGCACTCGTTTTTCACCCCCCACCAGGATTTTTGCATTTTTACGCCCTACCAATTTCCCTAGCTGGTCATATCTGGTCGGAGATTGGGAAAACAACTTTGTTTATTCTGCCCGGAGGTAGCTTTATCTGGCTGGTTCTATTCCTTTAAAGTTCCTTGTTTCCATCTACGATACTTGTATTGTAGACGCCGGGCTCCACCTTTTTTTAGGACGGGTTTTGAACCCATTGCACGGTGAGAAGGGCCTTTTGAAAAAAGTGAGCATGCGGTAATATCATCATACAAGTATGATAGATACAATTTTTTCCCTAAGGCACTGCTTTTTTGAGTGCATCTTATTACTAAACGAAAAAAATGAATAAGGCCAGCTTTTGGTGTCCCGTACAGTACGGTACCACCATATCTAAATAAATTTAATCCCCACTGTAATTCCGGCGCCAACCCTTCCCATAGTTTCGACCCCAAATCTCCCAAACACACCAACCACTCATCATATCCATACCGAACACCAGAGTGAAGCAATTGTGCTAGGAAGCAAAGAAGAAAAAGGAAAAGAAGAAGAAATGTAGAAAACGCAGAAAATGTCATTTGAAACCCCATATGCTAAAGTCGGAAATGCCATCACGCTAGCAATACACGGAACACGAAATCTGGTTGAGAAAGGGGAGGGGGGAAAAGCATTAAAAAGCGACTTAATAGCACAATATACTTCCCCGGTGGGAGAGGGATAATGGAGGGGTACAAGTACGAGTGAGAATAGTGTGAAATTAAGAAGCAAAACCTGACAAGATAATTGGGACTGGAATTGTCCCCTGTTTTTTCGGTGCTGTACCGGTACTTCACAAATCTACCAATCGACTGCCCAGCCATTTTCCTTGAGGAATGCTTCGCAGGCGGCCTTAAGGGCTAGATTTGGTCTCAAGTCTTTTTCAGTTAGCGGCTCTCTTGTGAGAGGGTCGGTGGAAGAACGCTTAAGGTGATCAAGCAGTGTTACGCGGTCATAAGAATGGCCGTATTTGGTCTGCATCCACGTTAATACCTTTATTTCAAACGACAGTTACGGGGGGAGTTTGGGACGAACGATGACGGGGTCCAGCATAACACTGAAGGTGATGTTATCAATCAAGTAATCCGGAACCTCTCTCTTTCCACATCTCTCCGCCTCGGCTTTTCCAAACACCTCCTCAAGAGTCTGAATCTTCTCCCTGGAAGCACTCCTAACATCGTCAATCTTCTCATGCGTCTCGCTTTCGGAGTAATCCCTCCCACTACTGACAGGGTCCCAGGTAGGGGAACGAAGAATAAGATCAACCTCGCGTTCCGCATCGCGCTCAATTATCTGCGTCATCTGCTTCAACAGGTTGCATTCGCGAGTACGACGCCGCTCTTCCGAGAGTTCCCAGCGCTTCTTCTTGACTTCAAGACATGTCGCTGCGATAGCACCAACGCTAGGAGAGCGTTGCGCAATGGCCAACTCGTATGCGCGGAGGGTGGATGATAGAGCCTCATTCGGATAGCCAAGTTTGAGCTGCGCTTGTCCGAGGTATGAATATGCTTTCACTATATTATCCCTGTTTGTGAGATGAGAGGTTTCAATACGCAGAACCCATTCGAAAGTGGCCATACGTGAAGATGGGATGAGATCAATAGCCTTCAAGCAATCGTCTATGACTTGATCGTACATGTCCATGCGCAATCTTACTAGCGCACGATTAGTGAAGAAAGCGGCATTCGTAGAGTCTTTTATAATTCTAAAACGTCCGAGCAATAGTTTAGCATCTGTCCTCCGTGAAATCCACTTCCAGCATCTAACAAAAAAACAAAACAAAAACCTACCTCCCTTGGATGGGAGGGGTAAGAAGAGCTCACGCTTGAGTATAAAATTTCTCCGCACCGACATAATCCCCCTCGGCATAGCACCTATCGCCTCACCGTTAATGATGGCAAGCCGGAGACGATGAAAGGGACAACTCACACGTTCCCCTTATTTTTCAGTTCTTCGGCCTTCATAGGCATCTGGTCTAGGTAAGGAACTTTGTCGAGAATTTGGAATTTTTGAGCGTATCGGGAAACGAAACCGACACAAATGTCGATCTTCGAGAGATAGAGAAATGGGGAAAGGTGCGGATGGTATTTGTGTTAGGGAGGCAATAAGTTAGATGTTGAGATTCCAGTGGGGCGCAGCAGCTCGACTCGTGAGTGAGGCTCAAAGGAGAAAAATCCGGGGGAGGCGCCGTCGGGAGGAAATACGCAGGGATGATGGTTTGATAGGGAGGCCGCGCTGCGCTGCGATATGTATGCCGTAGTCGTGTGTGTATGATATCGTGCGAAGGAGAAGAGAGTGTTAAGGTTGTGAGTGGAAAGCGAAGGAGCTAGAGGGTTGAGTGAGAGAAGAGAAGAGAGACGACACGCGCGAGGGAGCTAAGGACTCGAACGGGTACTATGTACGAGTACTCACAAGTACAGACCCTTCGTGCCCGTTGTCGCCAGAATGCAAATTTGGCGAGTTGGTTTGTAATACTATCGTACGGTATGGAAGCCCCTAGGGAAACACCGAGGCAGCTTCGGCAGAATGCTCGAATAACACCGGCATTGTAGGGGAAGTTCGCCTAAAAAAGCCCCAGTAGCCCACGTGCAAGCTATAATAAGAAACTAAAGCCACAGCACACTCAAAACTTTACAATAACTCCGAAGCCCAGATGAGAACCCAACAAACCCATCTCGTTACTGTACTCTTGGGAGAGTAAAAGAATTTTCTCGAAAGAACAAACCTGAACATCTCCCCAGGATGGTGGGTGGGAATATGACAAATTATCCAATCCCGCCGCACCTGCATGTGGCGCATATTCAGATCAAGATCCTCACCTTCTCCAATCACACCTCACCGCAGCGCCGTCCCCAGCACGAGACAGACAACCAAACGCTGCGCTGCATTGTTTCTCATCAATGGATCTCATAATCTCACGAAATATCATAGCATAAGACGTTATGTAGGAAAAGTGCTAAATACTACCCTCCGAAGTGACAAAGAGTAAAAATTGAAGAATTACAACGCAAGAAAAATATGAAGAAACGGGCCAAAGATAATGAATGAGTGGTATTCCGAAGGAGCAAAAAAGTAAAAGGGCAGGCCCTTTCATCCTCAAGGAACAGCTACTGCCGAAATTTAGCCCGCAGAAAACATTAGAATTGACAGAGCAAGAACCAAAGTCAATAAACGCCAGCATCATTGACCTCGAGATTTTTTTTCATTTTTGTTTTAAAAACCCTCGGTCAACAGTGCCGATCAGCTTCAATCCAACTTATGCCCCCTCCTCCCTGGATTTTCTATAGCTAGCCTATTAAACAATTATAGTGCAGTTAGTTCAGGTCAACTACAATTTTTGCCGAAAGCAATTTAATCATCTCCACCCTTGAGACATGATCTCAAAACTCCTCGCTTCTCTTGGACTTTATATCCCAAGTAGCAGCTTTGATCAGCCGCCACTCAAAGAATTAAACCCTCAAGAAGAAACTCATAGAAACAGAAACAGGATAAAGAACTCTCATACCTCTTGTTCAACCTGCAAGCTCTCAATCAAAGGTGCCAGCTCAGAATATATTTCGTAAGCCTTCTTGTGGAATTCCAACTGGGCCTGAACCAAATCCGCAAGATTCCTCAAAGGTTCAGGAGTGTCAAGGACATTCTTCATGACACCGACGGCCTCCTCTGTGCACCCTACAAACTCGTCCTCAGCGGTCTCAACCTCCACTCTCTGCTCTTCCGTCAAGCCCTCATCCTCGACAACACCATCTTTGCGCCCGGGACCAGCGAGACCAGGAAACCCGATACCCCCACCGCTCTTTGCTCTAGACTTAGCAGCATCGAGAGAGAGGCGTGCGTTTTCAACGTTCTTGCGGGCCTTAGTAGCGAACATCAAGTTGGTGTTGAGAGTAGTAGTGAATGCAGAGTTAAACCTGGATACAATCTGAGCATCCTGATGTAGACGAGCTTCACCGACTTGCTCGCTAGCAAGAGCGTACTTCTCAAGAGCGGCGGCGAGGGGCTCGGCAGGATCAAGAGAATGGGCAGCAGCAAGTGAAGCGCGGCCGATGGCATGGGGGAATGTTTTCGGGGCAGTTTTGGTACCGGGCTTGGTCAGGATATTCTGAGCTTCGGCAGCGGTACTGGCGTTCCCAAGGAGCTGCACCTTCTCGAAAGTAGTACGAGACAAATCGACAATGGACTCACGCTACCGCATGTCAGCACCGCCAAATATCCGGCCCAACCCAACTCCGACCCGCTATCAGAGGAAGAGCAAAAGACCTACCAGATTTGGTGGGTAATCATAAGACTATCAATTAAAATTCATGTATAGTTAGAACGCACAGCTCATCTACAATAAACTCCAACGTCTTTGTAAGCTCACCTCGTTTCCATATTGTGCCCTGGTGAACTGTCAGTAAATGAATTCCTGATCTATTAGGAAGAGCTTAGAAGAATAACATACGTAACTGCCAGCATCTTCTGGTGAACGTTCTTTAATGCATCGACACGTTTCTCAAGTTCGAGGTAATCGGGAGGCAGTTGGGTCTCCAGTAATGTTAGCTCCCCATCGACCAAATAAGCCCCGAAAAAATACGTCTCAGAAAACTAGTGGATAAAAATACAGAGGGGGCACGACATAAAACAAATGGGAAAGCCATCCAGGTATCAAAGGGCAAACGCAAACGATGAAAGCCAGATGAAAAACATCTTCGGAGTCACGATATCAGCATCGGAAGGAGTGCCGAGAGGCAGAGAACCGATAAGCAGATTCGAAGAAGACAAACAAACAAGAAATAACCCGTCAATCCTCCGTAACCGCCCAGGGGGTCCGAAAGAAAAAAGAAAAAAAACTATCACCGAATACCTTTTCATCGGCTTGCCCCAGCTGCTCCCGCATAAACTGCTGGGTGCGGGTAGCGAATGGAGTGAAGCTGGACGAGATGTTTTTGCCGAAGCCTTGAAGCTTGCTGAAATCCATACTTATTGAAGGCGATGATAGGATCGATGTGGGGTAAACTAAAATTCCAGCAGGTCCGGTTTGTTCTTCGTAAGAGGAGGTTTATAATCCAGAGAAACGGAGGACGGAATGAAGGGGGGGAGGGGAAGGTCGCAGGTGGTGGACTCGGCTGAGATTAGGCTAGCTGCTAGGGTCAAAAACGGTGGTGGTACTTTCTGTTGACTTGAGGCCTGACTCGATAGGCCCGGTGATTATTGGCTGCTGAGTTGTGTGCGCAAGGGGGTGCACGTGCTTGGCAAACTACTCACTAGTGACCTGAATTACTCAGATCGGTCCCTGTGCTACGGTTCGCATGTTTATTATTCACGGATGGTCACTCGAAGTTCTATGTTTGATAGGAAAGTCACCAGTCGTCTCTCGACAAGTGGATTTTGGGGGATACGAGAATACCCTCCTGTTGAGCGTTCGAAATCCTAATTATTCAACCATTAGGGATTCCTGGATAGTCCAAAAACATGAATCTGCGGTTTCACCACCGATAGGCAGCACAATCAATAGGGGCGGGCGACACTCTGCTACGAGCGAGAACATAATCAATCAGCTGGTGCGCCGGCATGGACTGGTATTCCATCCTTATCATCAGACATGTGATATTATGATACTTTGGGACCCAGCGGATTTCCATCCCCCCCCAAATACCGGCACCCACAAACCTAGATCTTACTCGGTAAGACTACCACCAGCTCCGAGTAGGCCGGCTTAGATGACAAGCGCGAACAGCTTGGAACACGGCACGCCCTATCGGTGAGAAAGTCTTCGATATGATAGGATTCAACGGTTGCCGCTGACCCCTCCAGCATAGCCGCACTGTGGGTGGCACAACTGCGATATATCAACGGCCGCAAAATCCCGCTCCCAGGGATTAATTGTAGCAGCATGAGTCCTGCGGATAGATCAGGAGAGCAGCGAGAGAAAAAGTAAGAAAAAAAGGCCTCAATCCGGGATTGAACCGGAGACCTCCTGCATAAATGTTGTTTTATAACAATAACCCAAAGCAGGAATCATACCACTAGACCATTGAGGCATTGTAATATGGACTTAGCAATCCAAAGCATATATAATTTGTTGGTGGCTTTTTTTTTGCACAGGAGGAGGTCGAAAGCCAATTAATATAGTAGCATCACACCGTAGAAACTAGTGAAATTTGCTATCATAAGTCCGAGCCAGGATCTCCTAACGCCGGTCTAGTAGGATATCGCGCGGCCCGGGATTTTGACGTAAAGAGTGGATCGTGAGTGGCTAGTGCTGGTTGGTATCAACCGGCCCACGAGAAGCGCCCGCGAGAGACTTACGATAACACATCCTGGTATGATACGAACTTGGGGCCTGTTTGGCTCGCTGTAATTTGAGATAGTCATGATCTCAAATCAAGATTTTTCAAATTGCCCTGTGCCAAACACCATTGAAGGTTTCAAATTTCCAAATCGCAATTTAAAAATTTCCCAAATCACAGTGAGCCAAACAGGCCCTTAGCGAATTTCACCAGTTTTCACGGCGCCAACGCTGGAGCGAAATACGGTATCCCACGGTAATCACGGGGGCGCACATGTCCGGTCCGGGTTGAAGTGGCAATCTCTTCAGCCCGTTCAGCCCGAATGGGATTACCCTCAAATCCCCTACTGATACAATCGCGGAACACCCAAATACACAACCCCCTCAAATACACAGTTCGCTCCTGGCTCACTCCTGATTGGCCGAATCTTAGTAATCCAGAGCTACGAGCCAATCAGTAGGGACTGTGTATTCAGGGGGATTGTGTATTTGGGTGTTCCGCGATCGTACTCCATACCGTGAGTGCCCGGATACGGTAGGAAACATGTGTTGGGGCGTTAGGGTTCCCCTTCCGGGATAGTCTGGGGTGGAGAGATCACCGCAAACCCATCCCTCCGTCTAGGCAGAAATGAGAGAAGCGCACGGCACCTTACCAAGAGAGGCAATTACAACGTCCTATGATATCGATAGCACGTTTCTCTTGTATGTTGAGTGCCTGCTATACAGTACCGTAGAAACTTGAGTAATGGAGCCGTGTGCTATGTTGTTGGGCATTCCTCTCTCAATAAGGTCTGGCAATTTTGCTTCTTCCTGTCACGGAAGGGGAGAGGGACTGTGCTTTTGTTGTGTTTTTCGCCCGCCTTCCGGAGAAGGGAATTTTGGACTAAGTTACATAGCATACGCCTCAACCATCCTGGCTTCTATTGTGCTGGTTATTAGGTAAAGCATGTAGGCGTTACTTGAAATACACCTTGGGGCTGTAGCATAACCCTACTTTTATCCTGACGTTGGGATATCCGCCCGCTTCTTAATTGTGCTAGCCCAGAGAGATATATATGTTTACGCGCGGTGTTGGTAGCCTAGAGAGTTTCCCGACCGTCCCGATTGAATCTATTCCCAAGGGTAGGATGAGAAATAGCCAACGAACTGCTGCGCCATTAAAGGTAATCTTTCCTCTCTCCTTCGTTCCGAAACAAATCATAACATTTCATTAATATATATGCCCCACGAAGTAACCAAAGGAAAATGACAAATTATTGACCTTAACGGTCTAACGTTGTACATCGGAATTGAAACTCTCCCTCCGAAGGGCTCTGAAAAGCAATAAAACGGCAAATCATATGTAATCAACCGGCATATATAACCCTATCCCCTACTACTCCCGTGTTGGTGATCGAACTGTGCAAAGTCCTCCGCACGTCTAACACCGCTCGCAAGTTGATAACCTGTTCCTCCAATTGTTGCCCCGCAATCTGGGCAAGGCCTCGCCTGATTGGCCATTCCACAGTTTCCAATTGTGAACTATTTGGCGGCAGATTAGCTTACACCTAGGTTTGTGATGGCTGCAGCTGCTGACTTACCGGATGACCATTGGGACAGGTATACCATCTCCCTGTGCTGATAAACTCTGCACTCATTGCCTGATGGACGAGCCTCTTCTCCTCTATACTAAGAGGAGCATAGAATACTGAGACCCCATCAAGTAGCCGACGAGCTTGGTCGACTCTACCTTTCAGGGGACCAATAGTGCCTGGAAGTTTCCTACAGAGGTATTCGCAGTGGTCGAGGGATCGGCGTATTTCCTCAAGGCTCTCAGGCCCAGCATCTTCAGGAATCGGCTCTTGGGGGGGTAGCGGTTCGGGTCCGCCAAGGCCGAGATTGGCCATTCTAGCTTCTAGTGGTCTGCTTTGTCTCTCATTGATTAGTTTGCTCCGATAGAGAGCGAAGAACTGCGCCTGGTAAATTCGCGCTTCGCACTCCTGTTTTTCCATCTTTGTATCCTGGCAGTCGGTGACAAGTGCCCCGCATTCCCTCCGCATTTTCTTCAGTTGAATAAGGAGGCCGCTTCTATGTGTCTTGTTGAGATTTTTGGGGATTACTGGGTCGGTGCTAACCTTGTGCCGATCCCATAGATCCGCCCAACGTAGCTGGAAAAACAGCAATTGACCCTTCAGTCTGAATCCGAATTGGACCATCGAGCTATCTATAACAAAGCTGCTCTGTGTGCCCTTGCGCTTTTCGGCGTTGAGCACTAGTTGGCGGACTATTCCATAAGGCTGCTCCTCCTCCTTAACCTTGGAAACGTAAGCCTGCAGTCGGTTGGCAAGGCCTGTGTTGCGCTGCATACGATCCGATAGTAACTGCGCCACGGGGATTGCTGTCCGGCTATCCGCAGGCCTAGTTCTTAGGCCAAGTAGGAAATCTCCCCGGTTGGCCTCCCGTAGATCCTCGGCATTAGAAACCTCATCAAATAATTTGGTAAGCTCAACGTTGCTGCTGATACAGAAGCGCCGTGTGGCTTCATCAAGACTTGCAGATTTAATTATACGGTTATATCGATAGATGTCCCTGAGAGGGGCTCTACAATCCGGACAATTTTTGATTTTCAACCTTTCCCTCTCTGAATCTCCATCCGCCGGTTCGTCACTGCCGTCAAGCGGCCTTGGGCCAATGATTTCGCCAACAAGGTCAAATCTATACACCCTTTTTAGGTCCATATGATTGTCATATGTATCCAAGGTATAGAAATGCCCGCATTTAGGAACGATGACTGGATCCTCGTCCAAATTGATATTGCGGTAGGTCTCAAACATGATCAGATCGACCTCTCTGTCCAATATTTCGTCACTTCCGCATTCCTGGCAGTATTTTTCTGATGGGCATTCCTCTCCGCAGACAGAGGGGCATTGGTGGGAACATGCAAGCTGCAGGTCACAGCGTTCAAAACATGGGTTAATGTCGCAAGGAGCGGCGCATGGCATTTCACAACGAACTCCTCGGTGTTTGCACGACCACCGACATTCTTCAGCGCACGGAGCACAGGCCTCTGAGCATTTCTTCCCGCAACGTGAATGTGCGCATCTAACCTCGCAGGGCTCACTACACGGCTTGCAGGTGTCGCCGCCATGACAAGGTACACTGCAACTGTGCTTGCAGTTGGCGAATTTTCTTCCACAGGCAACCCTACACATACCATGGCTTGTGGTGGTAGTGTATAGGCCGTCTTGGAGATCGACCAACCTGGTGCATTGCCTGCACTTCATCGTGCATTGGTGGCCACAGGGTAGAATTGCTCCGCATGGCTCGTTGCATTCACGCCGATCTACATCGACATGACATTTTAGAGACACCACATGCCCGCACAGGGGGAGCTTTCGCTTGACCTCCCTCTTGCATTTGACACCTGCGAGGTTTTGGAGTTCGAAACACTTTAGGGTTGACGATATGTGCCCACACGGCAGAATGGCTCCAGGTACCGATATGACACAGTTGTCACAAGCGACTCCGCATGCTTTAGGGCAAGGGTGATCGCAGTGCTTAAAGATCCGTTCGCACTTATCCATGCATACCGTGTTTCTATGAAGTGTGTCCGAGTGACATTTTTTGACACACGGATGGCCGCAGTCCAGTCTCCATTCGCAACGTTCCATACATCCGCCTTCGGGGGAGAAGATATGAAATTCCTCAGGAGTTTTGACTTTTATGGGAGTATCCGGATGCCGGGGGCAGCAAAGCGCGAGTGTCTCATCGATGCTGCCTTCTTGTTCGAGCATACCGATAACATCTGACCACATTTTTACCCCGTTGCAGGTGGCGGCATTACCAAAAATGTACATCCCGTGTTGAGCACGACTATCCATATGTTTAGCAGTGGATTACATACAGGCTTGATAGGATGGAATTTACCTTAGGAGCACGTTGATCCTATTCGAGGTTCGCAAAAATCCACAACGGCCGGCGTCATTGCTTCTGACCAGTGATATTATCACAACCTTGGCCTCTTCGCCCTGATGAATCCCATAAATTTAGCCACAAAGCCTTGACAAACCCGCGGTTTATACTTACTTGGAAGTTGTCCACGGTGGCAATTCTTACTTCGCTCAGTAAATCCCCTTTCTTCACTTCCCTTCGCCATGTGGTTGGTGGGTCTGGCTCCAGATCTCCATCTTCCTTCGATTCCTCCAAATCGAGCTGTTCCTGATCTCTGTCTCCGATTATAACATCAAAAACCGAGCCTAATTTCTTTCTCAGGTTGAACATCTGCCTCAAGTAGGGTGTCAATACTGCAATATCACCACTCTTATACACCCCTTGTCGAGACAAATGTCTTACAAGCCCAACGACCATATCGACCTCGAAATCGTTCGCGTGGGAGGTTTGTATCAATTCCGTTTTGTCTGCTCCCGCTTCGGGGTGTCTATGATCCATCCAAAACAACCGCTTCGCCAAGCCTGGAACGGGAGGGTTATTGAGCGTAGTAAAGTGATCCTGTAGTTTAGGGTAAAGTGTGTTTCTGATCAAGGCAGAAATGGATGGATGCATCCGTCTTTGTGTCTCCAACTCTGCGATAGGAAACTTCCTACCTCCGTACCTTTCATGTTCGGCTGTACGCTCAAACAGCGAAGTGTCTAACCCATATTTCGCCCCTCCCCGAGGATTTTCAACCGAGAAGTCGTGATTCATGATTTGGGGCCGTAGCTGTTGATGGTCTCCGATAAGAATGGTATGTTCTAACGTCGGCAGTAATGCACTTAGAATATGGGCTTCCAAGACCTCCGCGGCTTCTTCACAGATCAGGACTTTCGATGTGAGAGAGCGGATAAGCTCCGATCTTGATGCGAACCCCGTGGTGGTTACCCCAATAACACTACTAGCCAAAAGGCATCGGCGTTCCTGCTCTTGATACTGCTTACTAAGATATGCACTGCATTCGATATGCTCATTAACTCCCTGGAGAAGATCCGAGCTGGCAACAGTTCTCATATCATCAAGCCAGTATTGCCTAAGCTTCAGTTTCTCCTCGTAAGACATCTTTCGGATATCTACACTTAAAAGCTCATTAATTGGCCTGTTGGTGTTTGCATAATAAGGGTAGACCGGGTCTTTGCGGCGAATCCAGTTTTCAATGACAGCATGGGCACCACCTCTGGTGTCTCTTTTGACAGTCGTGAATCCATCTTCATCTTCCTGCTCAAGGCCAAATAATATGTCGTAGGCCATAGGCCGGTGATTCTCGAGATAACTTTTCAAGGTGCTCGGATTATCTGGGTTAAGTAGTTGAATGCAAACATCACCCATCTCCACACCAATGTCTTGCAGGCGATGGCGATTTTTCCCGATCTCACGCCTTTCTATTACCGTGGGTTCTTGAGATCGCTGACAGACATTTTTCAATACGAGAGGCTTTATTTGCTCGTGCTTGGGGGATCCAATGCGAACAATATTCGTTATCCCTTCATCAAGGAGATCCCCCAGGAATTGATCAAGAGCATGGTTCGTATAGCAACTAATAGTTTTCAGTGTCAGAATTTAGTTCTACCAATAGTCACCGAGGGGGTAAACAAAAAAGGCGAACATACACACATATTATAGGACCAATTTTCGTCTCTAATCGGTTTGCTAACAGAACCTTAACAATCTGCACCCCGAGATATGACTTTCCGGTCCCCGGCGGCCCTTGGATCAGCGACAGCTCTTGGCTCAAACAGGCAATCATTGCCTGACACTGGCCTCTGTCAAGGGTTGTATGGGCCTCTAATTCTTCCATTCTGAAGGGGCGACTTATCGAGTACTTCAACGGATATTTGCCAGCAGTAATGCTACTCAAATCTAATTCTGTTCCCGGCTTCGTCATATACAGAGGAGGCGGCACAAGTGTGTATTCAGACCCGGAATCGGGAGAGTAAGGGTAAACGGGTGACGGGGCAAGCCATTTTTGAAACGGGAGGCTTGGGCTCTTCGATAGCTGCTGTAAGGTTTTTAGAACTGGATTAAAGGAGGCGAAGAGCAACCCCGGGAACTCAACCAGGGCCCTGGTGGTATCAGAACCCTCAAATCCTGTGACTGAATTGAATGTGTTGGCGATATCGTTTTGTGAAACTGACTGAGCAAAACGAAACTTAACCATACACCGCTCAGGATTGGAAGCGAGATCCCAAACAGTCCTATCGCGTCCCACGCTAGGGATTTGCCTCGGCTTAGTTTCCGTTACTTCCCTTTGACAAACTACCAAGAAAGTGCTTCTCTTCGAACTATCCGTCAGGCATAGAAGGGAGCCAATGGCCATGTATTTTGGCTTCTTCCACCATTCAACGCGCGCTGCGTCCGAAAGCTTTCTCACTCGGCTTGGCTGGTCGAAAGTCATTGCGAGAACAAGACCATCCTTTGCACTGAATTCTACTTCCTCAATTCGTGCGTTCTTGTAAATCAACATATGAATCGGAGGTCTACGCCCTTTATCCTTCTTTCCCTTGTTCTTCTCGGTCTCTATAAGCTCTTGCCAATCCTCGTGGACCAATCGCACAGCTTCCCGAAGTTGGCCAGAGGTATCTTCTCTGAGCAATCGGAATTGAAAATCTAACACCCGTGCAATACCTTCCAGGTGATGAGGGCTATCCAACGACCTTTGGGGAAGAAATTCGTTCCGGTGAGACAGTATCTCTTCCGTTGACGGTAGGATATGAATCTCGGAGATATCTGAGTGGTCGTTATCATGTCTTGGGCCCTCGCGTGACAATCCACCTGGAAAGTCTACCTGCATCTGATACTGCAACCCAGGGTCCCTTACGAGTCGCAACGGCGCTATGCCCCTTGCTCGCGGGATCGCATCGCCCATATTGAGAAGAGTCCTGATTCGACTAAGCTCGTCTTGAGAAACACGAAACGCATAATTAAATACACCATCGAAACCGTTCTTCGCGACACATGTGCTTAAGGTATCAACGATCGGTTTAAACGCTTCCTGGACTGATGCGCCCTGATTCATATTCAGAGTATTAAACAGCGCCGAGATCGCAGCGGAAAATGCGCTTTCGAAGTCCTCCTTGTCCTCGGTTCTCGATAGCTCTGGCAGATTGTCCGCAACTTGTCGAAAAAACTCGGCGCCCCTTCGCCCATTGTGGCCATACATAAAATTAAAAATAGTCCCCACTTCTTTCTCGAGAATTAGCGAATTCCTCATTGACTCGTGGGCCATAACCTTCAAAAATGGGATGGCATGTTTCTTGAACGAGAGTCTTTGAAGTGAATAGCCAGATACGAAGGTGGCCTCAACGACTTGAGCTATTCGCCGAAGCCCACGCTCAGAGCCAAGGTCTCTAATCAATTGTTGGATGGTTCCAGTGGTCCCAATTTCGAGGATTTGCAGTGCATCCAAAAGAAACCTCTCCATTTGGTCACTCATCAGATCAGGAGGTGGCCGTTGCATGGGCCCATGGATATTTTTTCTTCCCAGCAGCTGGCTCCATCCATGATAGAGCGATTCTGCACCAGATAGATCTTCGACAACTTTCGGGAGATTGGGGTCGTGAGAATATTTACATTCATCGCCGAACTTGCATTGGCCATGCCTTTGGAAGAAATGGCAAGGGGCCTTTGCTTTGGCGGAGGCGGAAGATGGCGAGGAGGAGGAGGAGGAGGAGGAGGAATCGTTATTGTGGGAGAATTTGCAACCACTTCCAAAGCGACATCTCCCACTAGCAAAAAACCGACAAACAACACTATAACTTTATTATTAGTAAAACTTAAGAGGCTGATTAGGAGACAATAAGGGCGAACCTTCTTTCTGTGGAACTCATCTTCAAAACCGGTTTGTTGAGCACTTAAGAGGTCAGGGTTCCCTTCCCTAAGGAGCCCTCGTATCCAAGGATAGCTATAGTATCCACTACTTTCTCGGGAGGCTGTCAATCACACCCTAGATGCTGAGGACTCTGGATCTGGAGAAAAGGTCGGAGAATTACCTCACGGGGGCGGCAGACCCGGAATGCACCCGAAGGTCAAAAACAAGGCCCTTCGTAGTAAGAAAGTGCCGAACGGGATAAATTGTCCGTCGCAAGAGGGAAGAGGGATGATAACTTGTGTTTGTAGGTCAAGCTGATTTGAAGAACAGCACTGTTTGCAGAAGCTCCAATTTGAAGCAAGGAAAGGGAAAGAGCAAGGTCAGAGGCGGGGCTGTAGTTACATCCAGTACTTGTATACACAAACTCCCACCTCGATAAAAGAGCCCGCTGATAAACCCGCAGTGATCAGTTTCCTATCCAGCCACTGTGCATATCCTAAAACGAACTCATAGTGAAAGGTTATTGTGCAATTGTCCCCCATTACCTGAGGACTACCCCCGAAGCCTACCACTGAGGTGCCTACCCCTCATAGAGTAATGAATGCTATTGGTGCGGTGACAATTAGAGGGGGCCTAAATATCTAGAGCGTTGTCGTATCCCTAAGCATGGTGTGCCCAACCGCTATCTTGGAATAAATATGGCTACGGGAATGCGCAGCTCAGAGCTGCCTAGTTTCAGGCTGCCGTTTGAACGGTAGGCCTAAATTCGCTGTGTTTGGACCTCCTAATCCTGCTAGGCAACGGTGTTTCCAATGACGTAGCTCGAGTTAGCATGTGAGGGGTCCGAGAGATTTTGTGTTAATCTATATAGGACAGATGCTGGCATGGGTAAGAGTTTTAATATCCACGGGCAGGTAAGATGTTGACAGCTCAACAAGAGCTCAGGAATGATCAGATTTCATATTCTGGCGCCGCGTCAGAGAAGAAGCTGCCGTGAAAAATAACTTCTTTCCGAGGAAACTCTTACCCCGCATCCGTGCATTATGTTGACTGATTCGTACAATTCCGTATCTCAGGATCCCGTGCCAGCAGACATTGAACCGAGTGATCTTTTACGATGAGGGTCCGAAAGCGGTGCCCTGGATGCCTCTTTGGGGCACGTTAGGATCCTTTTTTTGATCCTCCGGAGCAAACAACAAGTTCTTCCAGGGGCTGTGCATCATGACCTGGTGCTTCATTGCCACCCAGCACATCATAGCAGCTACCAAATCGCCCATCATTCGGTGTTAAGGGCACTCCATGAGCCTGGCAACAGAAGAAATGTGCCCCCCTGGTTTTCCATACAAACCACCACTTTTCATACATGCCTATCAACTCCATAAAAGATTTATTGATAAAGAGCTTAATCCAAAGATTTACATAGTTAAATGTCAGACTATAGGAATGGTTCTGAATTCTGAAAGGCTTATGCTGGGATTACAATGCCATAGGAACGTAGAGGGGGCAGAATAAATTTTTAAAGAAGGCATTTGTGTGAGGACTAAGTCAGAATAGGAAATTCGAGTGATAGCAGGTAAGTATTTTTTTGTGGAAGCAAAAAGCCCTGTCCGGTAATACAAGCACTCGCCCGCGCTTGCTCCAGCAACTCGCTGGGCGAGAGTGTTTATGTTACCGGACGCGAAATATCCTTACACCCATGTACTTGTATTGTGCTTGGACAAAATTAACCATGAATCAATGGAGGAAAATCTTTGGCGATGACAACCACACTCACCCACCAATCCACTATCATGAAAACCAAAAAAAAAAAATTAAAAGATGTAAATACATAGTAGAAATTAATATTTGGTATACCATCCATCAGCCTTAATAATTGCCTCTATTCTATCCACCATTGATCCAGCCAAAGTATCAAAAACCTTTGAGTCAAGAAGTTCCCAACAATGAGTGATGGCCTCTACTATTGCCTTCTTGACCACATTGACATCACCCTTCATAAGATATAGCTCAGGGTAGTGCTTGTGAAGCTTACCTTTCACCAGAGACCAAATATTTTCAATTGGATTGAGATCTGGTGAATAGGCAGGAATTTCTATTAGTGTAATTCCCTGCCCTCTGAGCCATCTCCTAAAAGGCAAGTGAGTCTTAGCATTGTCAATGATAAAAAATACCTCTTCTTCTCCAGCCTTTTCTCTGATATTCTCCCATATTCCTAGAAAGTCATAAGGATCAATAAACATTAATAATTGACTTCCTAGTAACTCCACCCCTAGCAGAAGAAGAATCAGGAAAGACAGGCAAAAAAAGACCGTGAGTTTGACTATACAAACAACCAGCCATCATCTGGCTAATCCCTCTCTCCCCTCTCCTAGCCTTAGGTTCAACACAATCCTTATTCCATTTCTCATATGGGTATCTGAAAACCCATTTTCTCCTCTTTCCTCCTCCTCTTTCCACAGCTACCTCATTCTTCCACATTGCCTTCCTTCTCTACATCTCTTTTGTCTAATACCTATGAGCTAATACCCATTCTAACCTCTCTTGAGCTAGATCCTCATCTAAATGAACTCTCTCTTGTGCTATCCACTTTCTAAGATGCTTTTTTTCAAGTTTTCTCCTTACTGTCCTACTAGAAACATTGGAAGCAACTTGCTCAACAATGTCAGAATAGGTAGTATGGTGATTTTTAAGAGCTTCCTCTACCATAGCATCATTTTGTGACTTGATAGTTTTAGGATGTCTTCCTCTATCCTTATTCTCCTTGCCCTCTTGATGTCTCTTTGCAATTGTATCTCTGACAGTAGTGTAGAGAATATTAAGATAGTGGAAAATTTGCTAATATCTTATCTGAGGTTTGTGTAATCCGAGAATCCTCCCTCTGGTAAACTCAGAGAGATGTGTGGAGAGAATAGGTTTTTTTGTCATGACTGCGAAGAATAGGAGGCATAGTTTATTGAAAAAAAGCATTGAGCAGAATGGTTTCTTCTTAGTTGACTTAGAGCAATTTTTTTAGGTACTGTTGAAAGTGCGGAGTGATGAAGAGGGGTGGGTTGCCACCGATTATTGAATCGCAGTTAATTTTGTCAACGCACAACACTAGGGTCAGGGCAAAGTCCTTGCAGACATAAAAAGAAAAAGTTATAAAGTCTTCACACTGCCACTAGTTTTTGATAATCGTGGCAGTAAATACTTTTAGCAAATCAGATATCAAAGGACATCTACTTTAAATCAGCTGATATAATATGCCTGTGATACCAGACATAGTAAGTTTATTCAAATGAATCTCTATTGGATCTTAAATAGGGTAGGGTATTATGCTACACCTTAATGATAATATTGGAGAAAGGCTAAAATCTCGATAAAAAGAAAACAGAATGAAGGATACATTTGGGATCGGTCCCCTTATGCTTCACTTGACAGGTAGGAGACTTGAAAAATCTTCCCCAATATAAGATATATGATAAGAGCAACAAATAAAAGACCAATGTTAGTAAGGAGGAATGAATATAATGTTTTGGTCTTCTGGCTCTTTGTATCTTAATCGGTTGTCTTATGCTACCTTTTAGCCATTGACCTTCTATCAATGCTAAGTCCTTATAGTGTCAACTGAATAAGTATCTCTTAACAGGTATTGATATTTGTATATCCAGAGGTCCTTATTCTTAGGCTTTGGCTACGTTATGGGTAGGGGCTTTACCTAAGTCCTTGTATTGTAATGCTGATGTTCCTTGCTATATATAGATATCTCGTAGTGTTGTAGTAGAAGAGTAAGGCATGTAGTAGCAATAGAAGAGAATGTATCTTGTATTGTATCTCTTAAGCTCCATGTCTTCCACCTTGCAGTGTAGCTGGATTACTTAAAAGTCTGTATGAAGAACTAACTACTATGTCCTATTGTCTTCCTTATATAGTTCTTCCTGCCTCTCATGAGCCATACCATTGACTCATACTTTCGCATAACATATTGTCACATGACTCTAAGCCTAGTTATGTACAGAAATCACATGACCTATATAAACAGAATCATGTTACCTAACTATAACCTACTATGCAGCCTTCTTAGTCATGTGCACAGCCTCCATGACCTTTGAATAGGTTTCGTGTATGAAACTACAATTCCTGTAACCGGTACGGGTACTTGGTTATTTGTTTTATGTTTTGTTTCAAGTATCGCTTTGATACTTGGTTTGTTTTAAGTATCGTTTGATACTTGGTTTTGTTTTATGTTTTGTTTTAAGTATCGCTTTGATACTTGGTTTGTTTTAAGTATCGTTTGATACTTGGTTTTGTTTTATGTTTTGTTTTAAGTATCGCTTTGATACTTGGTTTGTTTTAAGTATCGTTTGATACTTGGTTTTGTTTTATGTTTTGTTTTAAGTATCGCTTTGATACTTGGTTTGTTTTAAGTATCGTTTGATACTTGGTTTTGTTTTATGTTTTGTTTTAAGTATCGCTTTGATACTTAAAGAGTTTTTTCAAAGAGTATCAATTGATACCCTTGATTAGTTTCGTCATGCTAGACATGAACAGATTTGTGTATTTAAAGACCGCCTGTTTCTACGACAGAAAAGGCAGACTTCGACAGACAGTATTTCAATATACTTGGTTGAACGGTTACTTCTTTGTTCCCCAGTACGCCCTCGAAGCCTCCTTTAGTTCTCAGCTCTCGCCTCCTCTCTGGAAGAGCAGGCCACCTGCCAACTATCGTACCTATCAACGATAACGTGATTAGCACCTTGCGAACACGTTACAATTCCTAGTCAGAAGTATTCATGAAATAGGTCTCAGCTAACTAAGCTACCTTATCAAAAGATTCCTGCTGACAAAGCAGATTATGTACAACCTACACTACAACCACAACACCTCAAGAGCCCAAATACTTGAACCTGACTCTAAGGGGTTAGTTTAATATTATGAGCTTTTTAAAAAATTAATTATGGTATATGTACTACAAATGTTATGATAAAAATTGTAATACTTTAGGGCCTGTTTGGTGGGAATAAAAGGCAAGTTAACTGTTCTGTTCTCCCATACAAAGTGAGACTTTTGAAACGGAAGGAACGGTCACCTTGTATAGAGAAACAAAGCTGAATGGAAATGGTTGTGACTGACTTTGCAAGTTGGAATTTTTAGTGGGATAGCTTAATAATCTACATCAGGTTTCACGAATACTTCTGACTAGGCACTGTATATGTTAGGCAGAAATAATCTGTACAGACTCAAAGTTGTATAGGTCAACTAAGATTCATTTCTGTAGATGAAGGTTGTCTAGGAAGGCTCAGACTATACTTGTTTCATTTATGACTACTAGGAGTAGAGTAAAATAGGTAAAGTTAAATAGAATCATAAAAACAATATTATATTGTTAAAGTCTCTTTGTTGCTTGATAATGTCTAAAAACTTGGAAGGCACTTTGATATCTATATTCCACGTCTGAGCATTCGCTGACTACATCTATCTACTATACAATCGATGTACCTTTCTGGTTATAGCTCACAACGTCAGGTATTCTTCTAAGTTGCAAACACTTGGAGACCCTGAAAACCACCACATCCTCTTCGGCAATTATAATATTGATA